TTTTTGGTCTTTTTGAGACAGCGTCTCCCTGTAGCCCCAGCTGTCCTAGAACTCACTGTGTAGACTAGGCTGGCCTTGAACTCACTGAGATCCGCCTGCTTCTGCCTCCCGAGTGCTGGGATTAAAGACGTGTGCCACCACACCCAGCCAACTTTTTATATTTTTTTCTCTCTACTGTGATACCTCTCACAAATGTGCAATTGCTATTACAATGGTGCCGTTCCGTTTTCTACAGTGTAGCAAAGTGTTTATGTAGTTGTGTGAGAAGTTGGACACCTGCTGTGAGTTATCAGATTGAATGTATACATATAATTTAAAACATGCACATTTAATTTACATTATATATGAAAATAGGCTGGATTCTAGCTGTTACGTTGAAGGCTAACATTCTGGTGGGTTTTGGTTGTTTTAAGGCTTCTTCACCCATAAAAAATAGTGATTGACCAAAGTACCGTGATTCTTAACTGTTTTGTTGCTATTTGAACTTATCTATGGGAATTTGAAGAAAGCTGTAAATTTACTCTCCAGAAAAATGTATGTATACATATAATTTTGTAAATAACTAGAGAGAGAAGAAAGAGGGATCAGTTAGCCTTCCTGAAGTCCTTGTGAATTCCAGTTTAAAACTCTGCTCTAATTTAAAATATTTTATTATTTTTATTTTATGTGTATGAATGTATTGCCTGCATGTATGTAAGTGCACCTGTGTTGTGAAATGCCAGTGGAAGTCAGAAGAGGGCTTTGGATTCCCCTGGAATTGTGGGTGCTGGGACTCGAACCCGGGTCCTCTGCAAGAGCAGTCAGTGTTCTTAACTGCCGAGCCATCTTTCCAGCTTCTGGTAATTTTAAATCGTATGAGTCAAATTTTTGTATAAACGGAACTGCTGCCTTATGTCTAAGAATGAAAAACCCCAACTCTGGCTTGGGCTCTATAAAGTGGCTCTTACTGTGTGAAGTGATGAGTTCTGTTTGAACCTCATGAGTTCTCTTTGAACCTCCACCGTCATAGGTAATCCTCAAGGAACTGACTTAATATTTCTGTTTACTCTGTGTAGCATGCCCAGGGCTCTCTCACCCTCATGTGACATCCCTTCAGAGTAAATGTTCTGAAAATGGCATGTTTAAAAAAAAGGTACATAAATGCACCCATGTTGTGCGATGCTTGTGGAGGTCAGAAGAGGGCGTCAAATTCCCCTGGAACTGTAGTTAAGAATGGTTGTTAGCTGCCATGTGGGTGCTGGGAATCAAACCCAGGTCCTCTGTAAGAGCAGCCAGTGCTCTTAACTGCTGAACCATCTCTCAGTCCCAGTGCTTCATAACTTTTATGTTTAGGCAATAAAATGTAAGTTCCAGAGTTTAAATTAAATTTGTCCCTTTCTCTCTTTTTTTTTGTAGTGCAGCATATATGATATTAGTGTGATTATAATTGGACTTCATAATTTTCAGAAAACGGAAAAATTACGTTGCCATTTAATACAGTTCCATCTTCTATAATCACTTTGCTAATTTATATGGTTTTCTTTGTAAAGCAAAAATGAAACATTCATGCATATTTTGAAACAGAGTCCAAGAAGTCTTTTAAAAAATTTTTGAATATATAGTTTGCAAATAAAAATTACATATGCTTAAGATGGACAGTTTGATGTTTTCATATACATAAATAATCACTACAAGCAAGCTAATTCATGTATCTTACCACCTCACATCGTCTCTTTTCCCCTCCCTCCCTCCTCACTTCCTTCCTCCCTCCCTTTTTTCTTTTCTGTGATGAAAACACTTAAAATCTACTGTCTTAGCAAATCTCAAGTAAAGATGGGAGTCTAAGCCAGGCATGGTGTTATATGTTTATAATCTCAGCAATCCTGAGGCAGAAGCAGGAGGATAGAGACTTTAAGACCATCTTAGGCTACATAGTGAGACCCTCCCTCCCCCCTTAAAAAAGTCTTCTTGACCCCTGAGGTTTTAGCAGCTTCTCCTGATTAGAAATGCAAACAAGGACCTTTAAAGAACTTTTGTTGGTATCTGGGAACTGTGGACTTTGGGCGTGACCCTTATGCTGGCACCTTCTCTTTGCTTTGAGGGCGGAACAATTTTGGCTTGGGAAAGAATCAGTGATTACAATGTGCTGACTAGACATTGGTGAGCGTTTGAGAAGGTCATACCTCTTTACCCTTTGATTCATTACAGGAGAGTTTCCTTAAACTCTACTAAACTTTGGCATATTAGAGAGTGACTTGATTACAGATGTTTAAAAAGTTGCCATTAGCAAGAAATTGTAGAGTAAAATGCTCAGAATGTTTTACATGTTCTTTTATGCTTGAGATTTCATGATATGAGATAGAAGATGGAAACCTTGCACGATAATGGCCATTGATAATCAGAACTTTTTGTGAGTAATTCAAAAGGCTGTATTTATGAATTGAAAATATCCGAAAGAGAAAAAATATGTTAGGTGTTTCTGATTGCTTCCCAGCCTGTAGAAAGACCGTTCCCATTGGCTATTGGAAGGCAGGGTAGTCAGGAGACAAGATTGTTTTGCTGAGAGTTTGAAAAAAGAAAGTGAAAGAAATACATTTGTGGTCTCTCTTCCATGTGTTAGTTTTATTTTACTTAGTTACTTTACTGGTGATTGGTGTTCATTGATAAGCTCTAAAGGTATTCTTTGTATGTATGTAATGTTTCCATTTCCCTTAGATAAGGGTAATCTGATGGAGGTAGATTATGCATTTTTTTCAATGCAAAGTTAAAATTTTTGCCAGCTACTCTTTTTTAACAGTGGAAGTGAGTATGAAGTTGAAATCACCCAGCTGCCTGTCAAATAGTAATTTAGCAGAGAATTTCCCAAGCTCAATGGTATATTATTGGGATTGTCTTCTTTTAGCTATGTGGAGGGAAAAGGGAACAGCGTTATTGAGTGTATTCTTTCTTCCAGTCCTAACACAAATGCTATTTCTTTTGTCTTTTTAGCACTTATGCTTTTAGTTTTATGTTAAAAATAACAGTTAAATCCCAGAGAGGCCAGGTTGCTTGCATGCCATACAATATTTAAGTTTGGCAGTGAGGATTTGAAGCTGTCTTTTAGACTTCTAAAGCTTTTGAGTTTTACATGATATGTTTTGTTGTTTCTGGGTTTCATGTAGCCCAGGCTGACCTGGAACTCACTGTGCAGCCAAGGCTGATCTTGAACCACCAATCCTGCCTCTGTCTCTTGAGTGCTGAGGTTGTGTGTGCCACCATACCCAGCTGTGTATGACACTTTCCTTACCTTCCTAACTTAGAGGTTTTTGTCAAAGACATGGGCACAGAGGCCTAGTAATTCTATATCAACTACTACAAAATCAGAATGTGGGATGGAGGGTAGACCCTCCAGAGGACTGTTCTATGTGAAGGGCTAGCATTGTTTTTCATCTGTACCACATGTATATGAGGGATAAAGCATTAGTAGTTTGGGGACCAGTATTAAGTAGGGTGGTCAACCATTCCGGTTTGTCCAGGACCAGGTTGTGAAGCTTTGTTTTGAAACCCAAATTAGTGCCAGATATGGTGGCACATACCCGTAGTCCAAGCTCAGAAGGCTGAAGTGGGAGTATTACTTGTGTCCATGAGTTCAAGACCAGCTTGCACAACATTGAGATCACAACACAGCAAAATAACTGGATGAAGGGTTTTTCAGGAAGCTGGACTTCCAGTGTTAAAACCTGGGATATCAGTGTGCTCTGGGGCAAGTTGGTCATCACTATAGTAACAAAGGATGTAAGATTCATTTCTTGAGTCATAAACCAAGACGTGAACTAAAAACAACATTCTGAAATGAATTAAGTGGATATTTTACAAATGGCTTGATAAATAATTTTTAACCGTAATATATTTATAGTAGTAATAAATTCATTCACAAAGCATTCTGCACGTACTCAACAAATCTCTGAGATTTTTGTGCATTCTTAGACATCTGTTTTAAGCCTGCCTTGTTTCCTTTCATTCTTCTGACATTGTGCATCTTGCTCTTTGTTGGAGGATCTAATTGCCTAAGAAAATATCCATGAATCTGGCTCTGTTATTAGAAATATAGTTGACCATGCACAAATACACAATTAAATGATATCTCTAATGACTGATTCTTTTTGACTGTGGTAAAGGATATAGGTGGTCTAAAGTTTTGCAGATTTCTTTTGAGTTAGAGCAGCAGTTACCTATAATTGGTTCGTGGTCTTAGTCATTTACAGCAAGTGCTTATTATATAGCCTGTACTGCCACCCTTGTCAAGAGCACTGTAATTCCCCCTGAGATCCCAGTATGTGTTCTTGTGTAAAGGGATGTATGAGTGTACATTCTCATTTTCTGGCATGGCCTGAAAGATAAGATTCAAAGAAAAATGCACTTCTGAAAAAGAAGGAAGTACTCTGATTTTCCAGGCATTGCAGAAGTGTGTTAAAATGTTTTAAGTCTATTTATGAGACAAAAGAGGGTTTTTTTTTTCTTTTAAATCTAGGTTTATATTATTTGCTAGACTATTTGTGACATGGAATGGGGGAAATCAATACATGGGTAAGAAGAGCACAGGCCCGTTGGGACCTTAATGAATAGTAGTGGGTATTCATTTAAGTTGTTCTTCAGAGAAATTATGAACCATAGGTATTTACCCCAGTCACAGAGTCAGAGAACATGGCAGGCGCAAGCTTGTTGAGCTGCTCAGGTTCCAGTTCTTTCCTTCTGGATGCTGGGAGGTACCTGGTACTTCTCATTTCTTCTCCTTACTTGTGCTTGTGTCATTTGCTTACCAGGAGGACAGTCTTTCTTCAGCAGGAAGGATTCCATCCGTACCATCTACACTTCCCTGCATAATGAACTGAAGAAAGTGGTCACTGGCCGAGGTGCCCTGGGTGGGACCGCCCCTCACGTGGAAGAACTCCTTTCTCACCTGTCAGAGCAGCTCTGCTTCTTTGTTCAGGCTCGGATGGAGATTGCAGACTTTTATGAGAAAATGTACATGCTCAGCACACAGAAGTTCATCAATGCTGAAGAGCCGGTTGGCCTTCTGGACACCATCCTCAAGAAGTACAGCTCCAGGTAAGTGCGGGAGGAGGGAGAAGAGAACACGACAGCCTTGTGGACCTCACACAGGCACTGAGATCTTTCCTCACTCTTAGAAAGATCTCTCATGAGATAACTGTATTCCCTTTGTGAATACTCATTAAGCAACGGGCATACATAAACACTGGTGCTTAGTTGACACCATGTTGGATGGATGCTTCTCTAAGTCACAGAGAGCAAGTTCAGGGCATCTAGGGCTACAGGGAGACCCTGTCTCAAAAAAAAAAAAAAAAAAAAAAAAAAAATGTTGCAATGGCTCAGTGGTTAAGAGTACTGGCTGCTCACAGAGGACCCGGGTTCAATTCCCAGCACCCACATGGCAGCTAACAACCGTCTGTAACTCCAGTTCCAGGAGATCCAACACCCTGTTTTGACCTCTGTGGACACTGCATGACACAGGTGCACTTAACATACATGCAGACAATACACTCATACATATAAAATAAAAGTAATAAATAAAATATTTTTAAAAAGATGTTGCTAAACTGGAAAATTGTATTTGGAGGAAATTGCTCCTTACAGAGAACTGAGGCTACTTGTGATAGCTGCTTACTGTGTGACCCTGAAGACAGCACCAAAAGAATTTCAGAAGATTGTGAATATCATTCAAGTGAATGGTCTTGTTTTATTTCTATTTCCTTGGAGCCTGACATAGTTGGTGCACATAGTAGGTGCTACTTGGATTGACTGGAAAGTAGCTTCTTTGAAGGCTATTATGTATTTTAGTATTAATTCAGATATGTTTGATTCAAAACAAAGGTACTGGAGCTAGGGACCCCATGCCTACAGTCCCAGTTACTTGGGAGGCTGAGGCAGAAGGGTCACAAGCTTAAATCTAGCCTAGTTAACTTAGCTGGACCCTATTCAAAACAAATAACTAAAGGAGCTTGGATGTAATGGGTGGTAGGTGAGCAGTAGGACCCTTGCACAGCATGCCCAGGGCCCTGGCTTCATTTACATTCCCAAGTGGAGGATTATACCCATTCTATTCATGGAATTGGGGCAGGTGGGAGCAGAGTGGGGATGGCCATTAAAAAGGCTTTGCAGAACTGCTTCTACTTCAGGAGGTAGAATGTCCCTTAGGAGAGTAGGTAAGATTTTGAGAGCAAGAGCACAGGTGCTTTGAGATGAGAAGGTATTTTCAGTGTATGAAAATAGCCTTGGGGTTTTGGTACTTGCTGTTTTCTTCTCTCTGGAATATGCTTGTCTTGGTTGTTTCTTCATCTTTAAATCTTGGTTCAAATGTCAGAGAAGGCTTCTTTTTCTGTTCTACCAAAATTATCCTCTTTTTAGTGACCTTCATGATCATCTTCTGTTTTCTTCATGGCAGAATTGCCACTTGAAATGACTGTTATTTGCTTACAGGGATGTTTTTATTGTTCCTTTTCTCACAAATTAGATTGTTAAGTCCATGGTAGCTTCTGTGGCTGTGGTACTGGAGCACAGCCTACCATAGAGCAGATGCTCACTGGATGAATGAAGGAGTGAATCGTGTTCAGCATGAACCTCATTTGGTAACTAGTGGGGAACCACAACAGGTTTTCGAACAGGGGAGTATCATGTTCTCATCTTTACCTAAGACTAATTACTGTGGCACAGTGTGTGGAAGTGTTGGTGAAGGTGTGATCTCAGGAGGAAAGGGCAGTGGGCAGACCGCCTGGGTAGGTAGTCTGAGAAGTGGTGGTGGGGCCACTTGGTTGCAGGACAGTGGGAAATAAGATGGTGATATCGAGTCTACAGTCTTGGCAGCCAGATGGTAGGCATGGTGAGAGGTTGCTGCCAAGGCGGATTTGGAGGCGTCCCTCCCCCATGACAGTATCATCAACAGGATGGAGAAGAAGGGCTCCTTTAGAAGGAGGGTACTGAGCTAAAGTTGCGGTCAAGTGACTAGCTGGTTTTCAAATTGAGTCTCAATAAGCATTTTAAAAATGGAGGCCCGGAGCTCCTGGAAGGCTAAAAAATAAAGCAATTTGAAAGTAAACGCATGAGTTTTTATTGTCAACTAAAGTGTCAGAGTTTATTTAACAAAGCATCATTTGATATTACAGTTTGTAGATTTCAAAAAAGGAACAATATTTATATACATCTATTTTGAAGGAACGTGGCACATACTTAGCAACTACTATGTGCCATGCATTCTGTAAGACTCCATCTGTTACCTGGTTTCCTTTATAGGTATAGACAGCCCTCCTTTTACGGTCTTAGAAGTTAAACAGTTTTCTCAGGAACTCACCTCTCTCTGACTTGAGTCCATATCTATTTCATTTTCATTTCTGGAGCTAGGGATTGACCTCCAGACCTCTCACATGATAAACATGTACTATACTCCAGTTGCACCCCAAGTGAAGCCCTTACTCATTGTTGCTTGTATAAAACTCGAATACAAGTAAATAATTTCTCTCTGTTGTAAGACTGGTTTGTCAGAGACAGCGTAACTGCTTACTACATCTACCTGCTAGGAATTAGAATTGTTTTCTGCCATAAACTCATGCAGTGTAGATGATGAAGATTATTTTGTTTGTTCTTTCTCTATCATTTTATTTATTTAGATTTTTTGAGACAGGGTCTCACTCTATGTAGCCCAAATTTTCCCTGTGTGTGTCTCCCAAGTACTGATTGATTTTCGGCATGAGCCATCATACTCGGTTTGTGTTTGTGTGGGGGGGGTGGGAGTGGGGTTGTTGTTATGTTTTTGAGACAGGATCTCAGTATGTAGTTCAGGCTATCCTCAAAAATACTGATCCTCCGACCTCAGCCTCCCCAGTGCTGAGGGTATAGACATAGTCCTACACACCAGGCACCTGGCTTTTTTTTTTTTTTTTTTCTTTTTTGAGAGGGGGTTTTTCTATACCCCCCAGTG